CTTGTAGTACAAAAGAAAATAAAACTAGTTGATGAGAATGGATCACAATTTAGGAAGACGCCCAAAAACTGGGGGGAAAAGTAAAAATTATCAAAAAGATTACATGTTTAACATGGTTAGATAACATCTAACATCACAATGGTGAACAAGATGAATGACAAATGAAAAATGTGTACATAAATGAACAAGATATGTCCTAAGGATTCTTATTGATTATCAAGCATAAATATATTGTTAGATATGACATAAACGTCCATAAGACTCGTGTATCGATAAAAACATAAAAGGATCAACCCAAATATTTCATAAGTAATCCAAAAAAATAATTTTTTAAGTAACAAGCATGTTTAACTACACACCTAATTACAGAAAATATATGTCGTGCCCACATCGATAAATAGAAACGATGAAGTCCAAAAAACCATCTTCAATATTATCCCAAAAATTTAGCACACTTATAAATAAAAAATGTAGAAGCACCAATGTGTTTCCACTGTTCCAAAAATCATAGAGCGTATTTAAACCTGATATGCACCATCATATATCTCAGATTCAATCCGAAAACTAGCAACATAGTAGACTAACAATTGAAGTGTACTAAGACAAAGCTTCACTATATGACAACTCATTAGTCTGCTAGCATAAAATTCTATTAACATATACTTACCTAACTTTTACATCCTCCAAAGATTGTTATAGGTACACATCTCCTCACTCGAGGAATGGTCACAGAAGAGAAAAAGAAAGTGCAGAGATAAAACTATCACACCTAAAAATCACCTCAAATAAAATGAATATTATATAACCGACTCTAGTGATCCCTTAGTAGGTTTACATAAAAATCAATTAACATATACCTACCTTACTTTGACATTCTTCGAAGATTGTTGTAGGCTCATATTTCCTCACTTAAAGAGTGATCACATAGCAGAAAAAGAAAGTGTAGAGATCAAAATATCATACTTAAAAATCACATTAAATAAATTCAATATGTTTGATTTTGTTTTTGGACGAGACAAAAACAATTTCAGAGGTGTAGAATTTATTCTGGACTAATTTTAAGGTGTTTGATTATTCTAAAGTATAACTGATTCTATTTCGAGAATTGATTCTACTTGGAATTATAATTTATAGCTCTAAAGTATAATTGATTCTGTCTCGAAAATTGATTCTATTTAAAACTAAAATTTGTAGCTTTTGAGTTTAAATGTGATTTTTACACACAAATTTTATATTCAATTCACTTTTACATAAATATATTTAAACATAAAATCAATTATGCTAAACTCAATCAATTCTATCATATTCAGATATATTAAAATCAATTCTATCATCCGTTAATCCAAACACAAACTATAAATGTTATATAAACAACTCAAGTGACTCTTAGTAACTCTAAAAAAAAAAATTTAATATATTATATTGAAAATTGTAAATTTATTTTATAAAAATTCAAAAATTGTGGTTTTCAAGATAAAATGTATGCACTCCATCTCTTTTTTTACCTTTTATCGTCGCTTTTTGACTTTGACAAAATATCTTTGTAAAAATAAATTGTTGAAGTTTGAGACACAATAAATACATTCACGTTCTTTATCAAGTGTCCACTTTCCAACACAATGGTTTTTAACATACTTAATGTCCCTCTCTGACTTTCCAAAGGGTAAAAAAGAAATTTCACACAAACAAACAATCACCAATAATCACTATTCACTTCAACATGTTAATCAAACGTTGACTCATTCTTAAGATAAGAAGAAACTAACATCAGAACCCAACAAACGCTAACTAAGTGCAGTCTCACATCACTTACTATACACTCACACCCACTCTACAATATTCTTCTTCACTATGAATACCCACCAAGCACCCAACAATATCCTTTCTCTTTCTACCTCTGCTTCCTTCTTAGGTATTCTCTATCTCTCCGCTTTTTTTCTTCTTGTGTTTTGTTTATGTTTTTTGTGATTTTTAATAATGTTTTTCATCTTGTTCTTTTGGTGATTTTAATGATGTTTTTGTTGTTGTTGCAGGTGTTTTTGTTAAGATTTGTGATTTTTTTCTTTCTCAAGTGAAGATGAATTGCTACTATGGATTCCCACAGATGAACACAATGACAAACAGCTTTGAAGAAGTGAAGATGGAATCTGTGGTTTGTCCTAAACCTCGTCGGTATCCTTCCATCAACCGACCCTTCAGGCGTCCTATTAGGTAATTTCATTTTTTTTTTTTTTTTTACTTTTTTGTTGTTCTTCAAATTTGTTTTTTTTTTAATAAAAAAAATCATGTTTTTCTTACTTCTTGTTCCTTGAAAATCAGCTATCAATCTGAGATTGAAGATTCAGGAGTTGGGGCAGAACTTCTTGACATCATTCATCCCAAGGTTTGTGTTTGTGTGTGTTTTGTTACGTACTTTCCTATGTAATTCATGTTTATCTATCCTAGTACTATGTTTTTTTATGTAACATAATTGTATTTTCCTATGTTGTGACTTTTTTAAAGAATTAACCTAATAGTTCATGTTGGTTTCTTGTGAAACTCAAATTTTGGTGATGATTTTTATGATAGTTCCTTTTAAAGAATCAAACTTGTTTTGTTTGTAGGGCTATACGGAGAGACCGGTATCGGCGGCAGATAAATTGTTGGGTTCATCGCCGCCGTATTTCATTGGATCTCCACCGAGCAGGGCTTCGAACCCTGTAATCCAAGACGAGCGATTCGGTAATGGTAATGGGAATTTTAGTAGTCCATTTACCATGGCATCGGTTTCGCCATCGGCTCGAGGATGCGGTGTTCCGATGGAATTCGGCAACACACAGGCTGCTGTTAGGATTGAAGGTTTTGACTGTCTTAGAAGAGATAGAAGGAGTATCTCTGCTGTAGCCTAATCCATTTTTGAAGAAAGAAAGAAGAAAATAGAAAATAGAGAGAGAGATAACAACTCAATACCAAGAATCAGCAGAGGAGTTTTTTTTTGGTTTCCGAAAGAGGGTCTAATCTTAATAATTAGTACTGTTTGATGTATATATAATTGTGATGTTTGAAGTTTGATGTTAATCAATAAAAGAGAGAACAAATCAGAGTAAACAAGGTAAGAAAAGAAGCCATTTTCTTCTGTTTTGTTATTAGGTTTGTGGAGAGTTTAAGGTTTTAAGGTTATGTTTATGTTACTCAGATCCTTCCTATGTAATTGTAATTTGGAGGAAATTGGAATTTTGTACATCATATAATAATTATTATTATGATAATGAGATTTTGAAGGTGTTGTTGCTTATTTGATAATCTCAAAATGTTTGATTGTTTATATTGGTTATTTATGATTGTGTTCTTCTGAGAAGGACAGTAGTGTATAGGTTTAACAGAATCTTAGGAAGCATCAAAGAGATTGTTGTGTGGTGGATTGAATTGAATTGTTTGGAAAAGAGGATTAGTATTTGGTGATGTGAAAGGGCATAGAAAAAGTGAGATGAAGATGAGATGATGAGTCAGCTATGTGTCTGATAAGAGCATGTGAAGGAGAGAGAGTTATGTCATGTGGTGAACACATGATGTGTTGTGGGTTTGATTGTTAGTGGTTGATCTTGAAACATGATATATTATTCATTAAAGGGTCCCATGTGAAGTTGAGATTCAGAGTTGCGTAATGCTTTCTCAATTCAAGCATATAAAACTTAGTTATGAGACAAGTTGGATGGTAATGCCAAACTGTGAAATAAATAGCCACTTGCACTTGTCAGTTGCAACATCAAAAGCCAAAGCCAAAATTAGGTACAAGAAAAAGTTAATTCTAGTTTTAGTCTCTGTTGCCTAGTGGAACTAGAGTTCAAGACACAGTGGTCATGAACTTTTGATGTGGTGGAGGAGAGTCTGATCTGCAAGATTAACACTCAAATGCTAAAGTCAGTAAGAGAATAAAAAATATTATCTGAATGATAATGAATTAAATACTTGAACAATTACGCACTTCCCTTAAATAGGAGAAACGACCGTAAACTAAAAGAGGGCACTTGGATGTAAATCGCGGTCAGCCGTCAGATTGATCTGAACGGCCAGCTGAGCTCTTGCACGTAGAATCATGGCGTGGATCGTGGTCAATCGTCAAGTTGATTTGAACAACTAGTAGGGTTCTTGCATGTAGAATTATAGTGTGGATCGCCATCAGAACAATTAGTAGGGTTCTTGCGCGTAGAATTATAGTGTGGATCGCCATAAGATTGATTTGGACGACCAACAGGATTCTGCGTGTAGAATCACATGCTCAAGCATGAAAATGAGTCTATTTGTTCTGCACTTTATCCTTAGACCTTGTGGGCGGCTCAGAACAAATATATTAGATTACGTTGAGTTTATTTTGATGGTTACATCAAATGGCATAATCTCTTGTAGGTGATTTATGTTGAATGTTGATTATTGATTAATATACATGACTTATTGATATTTTTATAACTTATATATTTAAAACTGTTTGAGATATTTAAGACAAACTGACTCACTCACGTGCATTTATTGTTGCTCAAATTTTAGGCAACCATCATTTCACAGCTCACATATGCATGTGGTTCAAGATCATAGTAGCCACAAAACACACATCTCTATCATAAAAGTATAGTATGTGTGTAATTATTATTTTTCAGCACTAGTGAGTATATCAGTTTGTTGAACTTCTGTTACAAAACTTGTTTTTCTTTTCATATGATTATGAATACCAAATCTGTTACAATATTATTCACAAAAACTAAGTTCCAACATACATACCAATGAAGTGAATTATATTTACATGAATCCGAACTCACTGCAGAAATATGACAGTTACACACATCAATGAGTTTCATCAGAGCTCATATTATGCCGGCCTCAAAACATCTTCAAATAATCTTCATAATTAGTTTGAGATCGAACGATCAGGATCAATAATTCTGTTACGCATTCATTGCGTGTGATCTGAGTTCGTATTTACATGGCACATTTTGAATTGTAAAAACTCTGCAATTTGATTGTAGCTACTGCCACCTTTTTGAAGCTTTAATGTGGCTAATACTCGGGCTTTTGGTCAGACCTGGAATCAAGTTTACGAAGAAGGTTGAAAAATCTAAAATATTTTACGAACATCATAGTGAAGATTAACACGACTTATGCGCAAGTGCAGGGATGACAAACACAAATCGAGAAGATTTCATTTTAACTTGCATTTACCTGATCCTTTCTTCAAGGAGTCCTTTTCTAAACCCACGCTAGAGGGAATTCGGCCTAATTTCCTTACCGCTTTAACGGTTTTGGCTAGTAGTTTAGATCTGCAAGATACAAATCAAAATTTTAGACATGACTTCTAATTAGTGCAGATGTGGTAATAATATAAGCACTACTCACTTCTTCGTCGTGTCTGAAGTTTTTTTGCTTTCACGGCTAATAGAATTATCAGAAGAACCATCAGTTTCGTTGCCCAAAACAAGACTATTATTGTCAGAGATATCACTTGATCTTTCATTATTACTCGTATCTGAAAATCCTTGAGTTTTTCGCTTAGCGTTTTCAGATGGATGGAGAAATTCATTTTGCTGTATGTGATCGATCGTTCGCTGTTGGATATCACCTTCAACAAGATGCTTATAACTTCCACTTAATTGTTTTTGAACTTGCTTAGAAATACCACCAACCGGTGGCATATTTAGCGACTTAAGACGCTCAATCTCCTCATCTTTTTTCGAAATAGCGTTCTTCAAAGAAGTTACCTGTTCCATTAATTCTCTTGCGTCCTTGTTATTCCGTGCGGCTCCTAGTTCAACTGAAGAAACTCTCTCAGCAAACTTTAAAGTACTCAGAGTTTCGGAATATGAACTCGCGTCCGAGTTAATTTGGACAAACATCAGAGTCTTTGCATGACCACCTATGTAGCAAAATCAAAGACAACATCCAAATCAAAATCTAGTAGAAGCTAATGCATGTTGACACAATAAATGATGAACATTGATTTGATTTACCAAGAGAATTTTGCAGAAGTTGAGTAAGCTTGCTGTTTCTATATGGTACATGGGAGCTCTTTTGAGAAAGGGCGAAAATGACGTCTCCGAGGGCAGAGAGTGATTTGTTTATATGTTGCGCTTCCCTAAGCCTATCTCCGGTTACTTCAGAACGATCTACTCTTTCACTTCCCGCCAAATCTACCAAATGAAGATTGCCATGCAGAGTAGAACCCGACTTGAAATCCTTCCCACGAACATGAATTGAGACCACACTAAGTTTATACGACATAGAGTGTAAACGCTCGTTAAATTTAATACACAATGAAGCGCGATAGAAAAGCAGATATGTCTGTCTGTCATATAAGTCATGATAAAAAGCTTTCACTTCAATGTTGGATGTCAAGGAAAGAAAGAAATTATCTAACCTGTGAGAACGGCTACTTCTTTCGTTCATAACGGTCGCGCTAACAGCTCTATTTTTAAGGCCAATGTCCATCAACTTAATGACATCTGAAGGTGATTTAACCGGAAACATGCTAGCATCGGGGACTGCTATACCGTTGGATTGAGATTGAGTCGATATCCCAAGTGTGTGCAAATCAAGGAAACCAGAGAAGAAAAAACTAGAAAAAAAAAGTTCATGCAAAAAAAATAAACTGTCTATAAAGATACTAAAAAAGGATATCTTTTCTGAGAATCGTCGGTTGATAACAAGTCACGAACTTGCTCGTTATATATCTCAACCATTTGAGCCCAAATCTCATAGTCTGTGAAGTTTGCCCTACTTGTGGAAATTCTGAAGAGATCGTTTAGTGCTCGATAGTTAACACCAAGATTTTCGCTTGTTGCTCCACTTGGACCGGTCTGAGAAAAGACAATTTTTTTGTACTATGAGATTTCTTTAATAGCATGAAGTATAAGATAAAACCAATATGTCAAGAGGGTTTATACCATTGTGTAAGTTTTCCCGGAACCAGTTTGTCCGTAAGCGAACATACAGACATTATATCCGTCTAGCACTGATCTTACAAAGGGTTGAATGTCAGAGTATACATCCCCTACGCAGCATTCAGAGTAGAATCACGGAACAACATCAGAATATCGACATTACAACTAAAAATAATGAAAAAATGGAGAGTATATAGAAATAAACCTTGAGTCGCGGCAGGACCGAAAATCTTGTTGAATTTAAATGATCGAAGTGCATCTTTCCCTTTGGATGGATTTTCGACAACCAAATCATTTTCACCTATGTCTTCTATAATTGACTGTGTTTCCTTTTTGCCCGCAAGGAACGGTCTAATTCGACAAAATACTCTGATGTTTCCTGTACAAAACACCATGCGTGAAATTCATAGTACACGTACATAAAAGAACACCAGAAGAGCGATGCGGGCAACACTACCTTTTAGTTCTTGAATTTCATTAAACATTTGTTTATTTTCCGCAAGGATGACTTGATAGTTCTGAGACGCATGAACGAGTGGTTTGAGATTTACACCTGAACAAGTTACCATCGAAATATAAGAGATTACATTCCAAAAGAAGAAGATTTATTAACACAACGTTCTAACGACAAAGGCCTACCTAATCGATTACACTCTTCTGCATAAACCATTTTCTCTTTCATAACATCTTGCCTAATCGATTCCCAAGATAATTTCAATTTCTGGATGTTTACAAATCAAGCACAAAATTGTAATGTTTGGCACCACAATTATAACATTGACATTGACACATTTTTAAGTGTACCTGTAGAGAACTACATTGAAAATTTATAACCGCCTGCAATTGGTTCTTTTTCATGTTCCACTCCTGATATTTCGAATCCGAAGAAGTCTCAAGTTCTTTAACCTCGTTCCTCAATTCTTCTGATTGATCCTCATATTCTTGAGATTTCTGTCTCAATTCTGCTTTAGCATCTCCAGCTGCTTCTTCCAACTGCGAGCATTGTGTTTCATATTGGTTTTTGGTTGCTTCAAGTTTTTGTGTCAATTCTAAAATTACCAAATTTTTATCCTCTAGCATTTTCATCAACCGAATAATTTTTTTTTCATTTTCCTTTTTTTCTTCCTCTTTGACCTTCTCAACCTGGATCGAAGAGTCGAAACATGAAAATAATCCAATTAAAACCTCTTGTATTATCGTGAAAATATACGTTGCTTATGATGCAAGTAAGAAATTGTTACCTTCAACCGTTGAAGCTGGCTAGCAAATATCTGTTACAAAAGTTCTCTCTGATATCAATTAGCGAAATATGAACGAATATAAAGGATCAATCGTCTTCTAACAAAATGACTAAACGATAATATTTTGAAATACCTCGCTCTCTTCTTTATTTCCAGATGCAATTGCCTCGAGTACTTTTATTCTCGACTGATACTTTTCTTCCCGGGCCTTAAAAAGATTACTTTGCTGAATGCAGTTAAAGAAAGCGACGTAAGGAAACCGATTGAGAAAATAAGAAGTAAACATCTATTAAGAATTATGAAATGGACGCACGGTTCGTAAATGTTCCGCTTGAGTTGATATGCGCCGCTCAATCTCCTGTGAAACCTTTCTCAACAAGCACGCCACGCGCTAAACAAACAAAAATGATAAAAAAATAGTTACGAAACTGTATCGGTTACATGAGTTTGAGTAGCAAGTCATTCACATGGATATATACTTGTATTTTCATTTGCAAGCCATACATGAGGTATTTCTCCATTTCTTCTTTCGACGCTTTCTTCGAGAATGCCATTGACTACACTTAGTAGCGACTGAGTCGGAGCATTCTGCAGCAATAGACACTTCGATAAATCATTCATGAATAAAACATCGTTAGTGCGAATATACGTATCTAAAGGTCGGCGGTAAGAACTTACATCTAAACTGTTTGATTTCATCATTTCGGATATTTTTGCATCGGGAAGATCTGCATAGCTTCTAGGTTTAATTTGAAACACCTCATGGAACTTATTGCCAACTTGGTATATTAACGAAGCCGGTGTTTCTGCACAACAGTCAAACGAAAAGAACCCGTCAGACACTTATAAAGACAACGACACAATATAATCGGTCTACCGAATATCAACTACAAAATTCAATGTTTAGCTTTTATAGCGTTGCTTCGATAATTCAAATTACATACATCATGGATAAACTTTATCATTAACAAGTCACCATGTTTAGGAAATTGGATCTCATTATATCAATCTATATTGTACAACAAAAACATACAGAAGGAAGAGGATGTGTTTAATAAAATTCACCGGACCCGCCATAGTAGGGCTACTCATAACACCATGAAACCTCGACTCAGATGAAGCCCTCCGCTTATCCACGCTAAATGGCGGGGAATAATGAAAACTCGAAGCTGCATATCCACGAGGGCTCGATGCAGTGGAACTAGTTGAAGAAACATTTTCTCCCAAAGAATTCATCAAGCTTTTGACTCTGAGTATTAGAAGACAATCCACGACAGGCTTCATAGATCCCTACACAACAAAAGCAACAGCGCAAAGAAGCATGAACCAAACTCATGAAAATATCATATTATGAATAACATAAAGTCACGATGCAAGAAAGATCGGTATAAATCGGGTCTCGTATACCTTCTCTAGGTCTGATATTTCAAACCGCGGCACTCCCAATCCATCCAAAGCTTTCAGAAAGGTTTTAACGTTTTCAGATTGTGATGGAAGAGAATGATCAGATTCACTAACCTACAACAACAAAAAATAGTAATCTACCTGAACTCTGAAATCAAATTCGCCGAATCAGCTAAGCGAAAGTTAAAAAAAGTATTACCATAGTCACGGAACCGGGTCGCAATTTGTTCAATATCAGGCACAAAACAGTACCATTACTTAAGCACGCTCTTAACTCACCATCCGTGACATTTGCCGTGAAGTCCAACGAAGGAAGAAGATTATTTAACCATTGAACCAAAACCAATCGATGTTTGGCTGAAAACATTCAAACAGAAAAATGTGAATTCATCTCATAAAACAAACAACATGCAAACTACAACTAGGGTTCAAGTGGAATCAACGATCTCCATACCTTCGACCTCGCCGTTAGCGGATAGTCCTAAATGACCATTTCTTTCAACTCCATAGAAAACGTCATCTAGGTTATCCAATTCTTTGGGTACTATAATCTTTCTATCAGATGGGGAATTCATTACTAGGTCATAATATCAAAAGATACATTTCAAAGTAATAATTCCCTCTCTTGTGTTATGTCACCCAAAGAACTCTTCAAAGCCTGAAATTCAACATTCAACATTCAACACTTACTACTAAATACCAAGTATAGCACAACAATAACATCGACACTTACAGTTCAATAATAATTTTAAAAAATATTAAATGAAAGATAATCACAAGTATCTATGTGGACACTTTTGATAGAGGATCAAACAAAGGCTTACGAAGAGAAAATGAAGAATTGTATAAAGAAACGTCCAAAGGAAGAAAACTTGAAAAACAGGTTATGGAAATTTCCGGATATAGATGACAAATAAGTTTGTTTGCATGCAAAATTCAAAATGAAAATTACGAGGAAGGAACCAACATTTGACTTGTGTAAGAAATGATTAAAAAACAGCAATAAAAAAGAAGGAAGAAAATATAAAAATTGAAAAGAAAAAGAAAGAAAGATTGAAACCTGGGAATGTAGAGGTTGAATGAAAAATGGTGGTTGAGGAGAATGAAGGAAACATGCATCCATTAGATTGTGTACGTGATTAATTAAGTATAATTAATTAATAATAATAAAAATAAAAAATGAAAAATAAAAAATGATATAATGTTAGTGTGTTAGGTAATGTTAGTTTAGTTGGAAAATGTTGGAAGGAGAGAGAAGGAGTGGTCCGAGAAAAGCTCTGTGCGTCAGAATGGATGAATAGTTTGGCGCCAGCGCCACAAGGAAACGCCAAATGAATACAAAAAATATAAGACGGTTAGTGCAATTTGTACCTCTCCACGATTCCACTCTTTTTTTCTTCCTTCTCTTCTTGGAAAAATACTAGGGAACGCGCTCATCACTCTAAATATAATTTTTTTGTGAGAAAAAAAATTAAATTTTTTGAAAAAAAACTAATTTTTGTGAAAAAATAAATAATTAAAAAAAAATGGAATTTTTTTTAAAAGCTGATTAAATTTTTTGGAAAAAAAATTAATAATCAGTTTAAAACCAATTTTATAATCAGTTTTGATTGAAATGTAGTTATAGTTATGAATCCAAACCATTTAACTGATTTAAAATTGGTTATAGTTTGATTTCTAAAAATAACCAACCATGCACACCCTTAACTTTGTCTAAATTCGTGAGAACTCAAGAACAATATGAAAAGAATGGAAAAGTGCATAAAAGTGCGAAAATTTAGGATGAAAAACAATAAGAATGCAATTGAAGTAAAAAAGATAAATCAAATTGAAAATAAAGTGTTTGGATTAATATAAAATGGTACGCATGATCAAACATTTCTCACTGAGTTTCAAAATTACTGTGAATTGGATATTGGATTTTACAGAGAACTTAATAAAATTTGCGACCCTAATCATAGTGCATAAATTCGACTTATATACAAGTGCAAAATAATTATCGATAACGATTACTTGCTTAACATTCAACATGTTCCCAAGTACGTGGGTTACCTGGCCTCTACATGGCTTCCACATGTCTCGATGTTCGAATTGCTTCCAACTATCATCTATGCTGATAACTGTCTCTAAATCTCTCAATTTCCCTTGTCGAGAATATTCAGCCGACTCCTATAGTCTTTTTCTAAGTGTCCTTTGTATGGCTGACTTCTAGACTTAAAAGCACACCAAGTCCCCAACATCTGATGAACGTGTCGAACTCGACACTTGTCAAAGTACTGATTTATGACACCTGTTTTAAGATTCCAGACTTGTTTCAAAAATAGAGTGATTATAATCTTGTGGATTTGCTCCTGTGACTCTTCCAAACTAGGATTAGTACAATGTTAAAATTCACAAGCTAATAAATGCCTCCCAAAAATGTCCACTTATGATCATATGCAAAAGATGGAAGAAAGGTGGTATTTTTTGTAACTGCTCGACATAATTCAAGATAGTCTGCCTACGCCATGGTCATCATGACCACTTTTCACCAAACTGTCATGTTAGTGTACATGCGTGCACTTAGCCATCATTACCTCGTTTTTCATGACTTCGTAGGCCACCAAATCAATTTCATAATAAAAATCATTTAATTGGTTTTTAAAATCCAAATTTTGTAGCGCCACGCGTCCAAATTCAGTGGAGACACTGAAACATTTTTTCTCATTATAAAAGCATATTTACTCTCTTAATTTCCCTTTTTCCATCTTCCTAAGCTTTTAAAACCCTAAATCTCTTCATCATTATCATCATCCTCCTATAAGAAAATCTAAAGCAATCCAATGGCTTCCAGTTCCTCCACTAAACGTCAATCACAAGTTTCTCTTGTTGTTAAGCTCAAAGCCCCCATTTTCAAAGATGGGCACACTTATGCCCCAAAACCTCCAATATAAGAAGAGAAAGATGCTATATGGTTTTCTCAGGTACGAATCCCTATTCTATTGCAGGTATCGTTCACACTTACATGGATCCTCTACCCAGAAAAAATAAGAAACCAAAAATATAGAGAGCTTATTTTTCTTGTTTCTCATCGTGCAAACCCTTGTGTTTAGGGACAAAACTTTTGATTTTAGTTTCATGATCAACCATGTATTTCGTTTAGCTCTTTCAATGAATAATGCTTCTTATATTCGTTGGCTGGATAGGGTTCAACAAAAGAAAGAAAGAACATGGAAAGATCAGTGTATCTTTTATTTAATACAACTCTCAAGAGTTGGTCCTAAGTACAACCCTCACATGTTGATCAATCCTATTTTCCACCAAGAAACCTCAGCCAACATGTTTCATCTAGCATGTGAGTGTTGGAACAATATTGGTTTGTCCCATATCCCTTGGATTTTGATGATAACAAAGTATTTAAAGAACAATTGGATATGCTAATATTTGTTCAAGTGTGCATGACCAAAGACTAAACTTTCATATAGAATCCAAGTATTGATTTTGACTATGAACATCTAAAAAGAAGTTTAAAGAGAAAAATTTGATGGATCAGAAGCTGAAGACCAGACTATGAAGAAGTCAACTTCTAAAGAGGTCAACGTCTGAAGACCAGACTTTGAAGAAGTCTGCTTCTGATGATTAGAACATGACCTAGTCACATCGCAAGGACCAATGTGACTTTGATGGGTCACTATTAACCTCTTAGCCTAATTAGTCAGGTGAATACCTAAGCTCTATTTTCTTCATAGAGTCTGTTGGGATGCAACTGCTAATTCCTTTTGTAGCAAAAAAGATTTTAAATTAGCTTTCAACTACCTTGACTATTTGAAGAAACATCCCAACGTCTCTTTTGAAGCTTCTCAAGGACTCTTTTGTGATGTTTCTCCAACGAATCTTTTCTTTCTCTATTTAAGGAGTTGAAGAGTTGAAAAAAACAGCGGATTCCATTGACATTAAAAAGAGAAGTTATTATGTCAAAACAAAGGCACAACCAGAACTTAGTATTTCTTATCCTTGTATATTCTAGAAATCCCTAAGTCTTAAATGGTTATTTTTTAGTTGTATTTTGTCTACACCTCTGATTGTATATCAAGTGCATTATCCCAAAATAATCATTTATCGGTTAGGTAAATTATTAGAAGTCTCTTACTAAGTGTTTAAGCCTTTGAATTCTCTCGCTTGTGTGCTTGAGCATATAAGTCTCTTACTTTGTGTTCGAGCATTGGAAGTCTCTTGCTTGCGTGCTTGAGGAAATTTTAATCTTGTGTGATTATAGTAAATATCTCTTATAAGTACAAGGGGAATGAATTACTATCAAGTTGTGAAAGGAACTGGGATTACTCTGTGTGTAACTCTTCTTTCTTGCATTTCATATTTGCTGCATACCTCTAATTGAATCAGGTTCTATAACCTATGTTTAGAATCTGACCTAGAGTTTTAAAAAGAAAGAAAAATTCAAAACAATCCAACCCCGATTATTTTGTTTTTCTTACGTTCAGTTGGCATCAAAGCACGGTTTATTCTAAACACTTAATAGTGGTGCAGAAAAGATCCCGATAAAAATATATTGAATCATGTCTGGTGTTTCTGATGCTAGTAATGGTACTCCTAATCCACACGCCACTATTAATCATGATTTAGATCTAACATTCGCGTGGGTATCAATTCTTAATGCTTCATGTTATGTAGTTGTGTGAGACATCACCGATGAGACAATATGGTTAAACTCTCGACGAAGATTTAGACATGAACCCTGTTGTGAGAGATACATGATGATATTGACGAATGATTTATGTTGTGTATAATTAATTGGTAAATTTGCGTATTAAATAGGTGGATGAAATTCATTCCTGACGAGTTCTCTACCATACTTTATTTACTTGTTCATATGTTTTACTTTCCGCTTTTTAATCTTTTAAACCATTTAAACCAAGCTTAGAAGCATAGATATTGTTGAACGACATATGATCCCTCGCACCGATCTCTATGTATACGATAAAACCCAGAATTCTTCCAAACTTAAATTTTGCTTGCTGCTCTACTGCAACAACAAAATGGCACTGCTATCGGGGATTGATGTTTTGATATATAAAGCATTGCGATAGTTTTTATATTTCTAAGTTTGTATATAGTTGCTTCTATTATATATATTCTTGTATAAATACTCTTTTTGCTTTTGTTTTTCATCCTTGTATATAATTTTTTTCCATACTTGTTTATATTTGTGTGGCATATTATTTATACTTATGTTTCATACTTGTTTTCCATACAAACTTGTACATATTTATTTTCCATAGCGTTTGCGTAAGTGTTTGTACATATGTGTTTTCCATTATGTTTGTTCAAGTGTTGTATATATTTTGTTCTCATAATGTTTGTTCAAGTGTTTGTTTAGGACACTTTCTTTAGGTTTTTGCTTCGAAGAAAAGCATCAGGATGTCTGTGAGGAAGTTACTAGCCAAGCACAATAAAGGCGTCGTGCTAACGACATGAACCAAGCGCTTTTTAGGAGGCAAACCAACGATTTTTGAGTTGTATAACTTTATGTTTAGTTAGTTTAATTTGAGTTTTTTTAGGAAGTTAGAAATTTTTGTGT